CTCCTCCTCCTCCTCCTCCTCCTCCTCCGTAGCCATTTTGGCTCAAGTCCGTCCCCTCCGTGGGATCTCGGACTTGGGCCGAAATGAGTTCCACAGCTGTTTCGCCCAAGGCCCCCTGGCCAAGCGCAGCGCCGCCCGTTTCTGACGGCGTCCATCCATATCTATGCAATGGCTGGGGCTGCTGAGCCTCCTGCCGCTGCTGTGCGCAGTCGCCATGCCGCACACGCGTTCCCTGGCGGCTTCGTACATCCGCACCTGCCGAGGGCTGCAGCGTGGTCGCGCTCGCCCACGCGGAGCCGCATGCCGCCACGTCCTTCGTCTTCATATTCTCGTCCCTGACGCAGTGGCGGCACGCTCGGCTGATGGCGATCCCGTCCACACCGACCTTGCTCACCAACGCCACATGCCGAACGTGATGCTCCCTCTCTACCCGCTGGGCGTCTGCGGCAGCCACGAGCTCCAGGAGGTCGCGAACTTCATCCAGCGGCGTCGTGTGCATGCTGGGTTCCATGATGATGCTGGACCTCCGCGCGCTGCGGTGCCCGCTCAACCAGTCCCACGACTCGGAGCTGGCCCTCTTCCTCCGCCTGCACGTCAAGTTCACCGCGCCGCTGAACCCGATGCCGATGGTGTCGCTGACGTTCTCCTGCATGACCTACGCCGCGTTCCTGGAGCCGCCGCCGACCCTGAAGCAGCCGAACATACCACTACAGCTGCCGAAGTCTCTCTTCAACCTGCTGACGCTGGTGCTAACCCCGCTGGTGTCGTTCTGCACGCTCTACCTGTTCTACGTTCCGACGTTCGCGCCGCTGGAGTCGTTGCCGATCCTTTGCACGACCTCCAAACCAATCAAGTGGCCGATTCTGAAGCTGGCCGTGCTGGCGTCGCCGGTGCCGGTGCTCTGCACGCTCTCCCTTCTCAGAGATCTGAAAGTCGTGTCGCTGGTGATATCCTCGCTGGCGTCCGTCTGCATGTCGCCGCCGTGGGTGGCGATAGTCTTCCTCCCACTGCTGCCGATGCTGCTGGCGTTCTGCGCGCTCTTCGTGCCCGAACTTCTGACGGTCCCCGCGGAGCTGCACTGCCATCCCTCGCGGCACGGTCGCTGCGCCGTTACGTCGCCATGCGCCGCCTCGGTGCCACGAAGGTGCGATCGATCCTGACCAAGACGTTCCGAGAGTGGTGGCGAGCCATGCGGCGCGCCGTCCTGCAGGACAACAGGCTGTTCTACCGCTGCTTCGACGCGTGGGTAGACGCTGCCGCTGGTGGCGAGCGACCCCGACCAGCAGATCTCGTCCTGCATGCCACTGCCGCTGGAGGTCCCCGTCCTGAAGATCACGACCTGCATGATGCCGCTGCTGGTGGCGAACAACCCCATTATCCCGAACGCGTTCCACCTCACGCTGCCGCTGGTGGCGCATGTCTCCGTCCCGAAGAACACGTCATGCACGATGCTGCCGATGGCGGCGACCGAGTCCCGCATGCCGCCGCCGATGGTGGCGAACGTCCCCGACTTGAAGATCACGGTCTGCATGTTGCTGCCGCTGGTGGCGTACGACCCCGACTTGAAGTTCACGTCCTGCATGATGCTGGCGATGGCGGCGCTCTAGCTCCTCATGCCGCTGCCGCTGGTGGCGTACGACCCCCACTTGAAGATCTCGCTATGCATGATGCTGCCGTTGGCGGCGAACGAGTTCCACTTGCCGCTGCCGCTGGTGGCGAACGACCCCTACGCGCAACTCACGTCCTGCATGATGCTGCCGATGGCGGCGCACGGGTTCCACGCGCCGCTGCCGCTGGTTGCGAACGACCCCTACGGGCAGCTCGCGTCTTGCATGACGCTGCCTATGGCGGCGAGCGGGTTCCACATGCCGCCGCCGCTGGTGGCGAACGTCCCCTACTTAAAGATCGCCTCCTGCATGATGCTGCCGATGGCGGCGTTCGAGCTCCGCATGCCGCTGCCGCTGGTGGCGTACGACCCTATCGCGAAGAACTCTACCCGAACTGCTTCGACGCGCGCGCGCTGGAGATGAGACCCCTCTCTGAGGCCTTTCCTGAGACCAGCCCCCTCGATGTAGCTAGCCCTGTGCCTTCTGTCCCGCGCTCCCCACCCCGCTCGTCCCCGTCTTGGTGCCCTTCGCTTCGCTCGTCCCCTGCCCTCCCCTCCTCCGCCGCTCTTCTTCCGCCCATCCCTGTGTTCCCCGCTTTCCTGAATGCTCCTCGTATTGTTTCGTACGATTTACATTCCGCTCCACGCGTATGGCCCCATGCGAGTGCCGGAGCGTTCGAGCCCAGTGAAGTTCACTAGGAAGTAGTCGTCGCGGCGAGAGACAGGCGTGGGATCACTTGCCCTCTTCTCGCGTCTTGTCCGCTTGCCCTCGTCTTTTCTCTTCATGGTACGTTCACTCCTCCTCCTCCTCCCTCCTCCCCCTCCTCCTCCTCCTCCTCCTCCTCCTCCTCTCCTCCTCCTCCTCTTTTCCTCCTCCTCCTCCTCTTTTCATCCTCCTCCTCCTCCTCCACCGCCGCTTCCTCCTCCTCTTTCCTCCTCCTCCTCCTCCTCGCTCCTCCTCCGGTGCGTGCTGCAGCTCAAGCTTGGGCCCCCTTTCGAGGTGGGCGCGTTCGCAGACGACATCTATTTGATCTCTCGCGACCTGTTTCGCTCGCTGCCCCACGTGATGAAGCGTCTCGCGGCGTGCAGTGGCATCGCGGGCCTCGCGCAGAATCTGAACAGAGAGGTGGTGGATGACGTGACCTGACACTGGGTTGAACGTCGCGACGACCCGCTCAATGACGCCCATGAGGGTCGGCTTCGAAGTTGTCCTACACAGCGCTCATCCCGAGGCGGACGGCCGCCACTTGAAATACTGCACGTCTCCTCGCAGAGGGCGCCGCCGCGTATGTTATCCAGCCGCTCTTGGAGGTGATCCTCGGCTGCGCCTCTCAGAAGCCACCAGGAAGGCGCAGCTCAGCAGCAAGGCGTACTCGTTCAAAACTGAATTTGGGGCACTCCTGCCAGAGGTGCCGCACTGAAGGTGTAGGGTGATCACAGAATCGACAACATAATCCAACTCCTCGAAGCCGAGCTGACCGTGCACGTGCCTGTGTCGCTCCACTCGTGAAAATGTTCAAGGCATTCAGCTCGTCCTGGGACAGTGAAGCGACGAAGTCACGCCATGCACCCGAGCTGAGGACCTCCACATCCACATCCTCGACGCCTTCACAGTCGAGGCGAGAGCGTTGTACAGTATGAAGACATCTCAGCCTCGCAATCACGCGGACTGCATGCTGAGCTGCTGAAGAGGAAGTCCAACAGGATGAGCCAGCACCGCGGAGCTCGGCCGTGGCTCGCAGAACTCTCGGGTCGTCCTGAGGGTCGATCCCGATCTTGATGCCCCACTCAGGGTCGTGGCCCAGATACTCGACCCCCAACTCCTCGAAGTAGTTGGTCAGCGCGAAATCCAGGTGCTTGCTGGGGCGCAGATGCGATGACTGCACGGCTTTCATCGCCTGAAGAGCTGGCCCGAAACGTGGATGTAGCTGCACTCGGCGACGCCACCAACGTCCAGCACACCACCAGGTGCGACGCGAGCGAAGCACCGCACGAAATATGAGTCCCACAACGATCTTTGGCGGGAGCTGAAGAATAGGGACTGCCCACATCCAAAGAGGACGGAGGTACGCAGCACACAATCGTTCTCGGACATCAGCTGATCCATGGAAACTGCGAAGAACAGAAATGGCAGCCAACAATTTCTCCCAGCCGCCTCTGGGCTGGATGGGCACCTGCGGGCGGGTCGGGTCGCAGACCAGGCCCAGGTGCTCCATGGCGTTGGACGGCTCGGAGGCCGCCCACCTCTGGCGCTTCGCCGCGTTCTCGGTGTAGCCGATGTCCTGGTCGAACTGCACAGTGCGCTGCAGCCCAGTCTCGAGGTCGGCGTCGGTCATGGCTGTGATGGACCGATCGTCCATGAAGCCCCAGCCCGTCGCTGGCGCGCAGGCCCAAGGCGCGGGGGGGGCCACCATCGCGCCTGGCGCCACGCTGTCGCCTTGCGGGAGGCCGCGCTTGGTCCACAAGGGGGGCGCCACCTCGGAGTTCACGGTGCAATGCCGCGGCCCCCGCCTGGCGCACAGGGAGACTCTGGTGACGGCCTCAGGGGCGCCCTGGGCCGCGAGGGCCGCGGCGGCGAGGTCGAGGTCCACGTTGTCGTAGGCTTTGCTCAAGTCCAGCTCGAGGCCCACGAGAGCTTCCTCCGCCAACCAGGCGGACACGGCGTGCGTGACGGCGATGCCCTTCTTGCACGCGAGCTGCGAGTCGGAGGGCTGCGGGGGCGCGGTGGCCATGGCAGACAGCCATGAGCGGAGTAAACAGGAGGCGACGCTGATTGGGCGACTCTCATTCTCATCTTTCTTCGGTATGCCCACCGCTCTCCATCCGAAAATAGCGTCGGACATCTCGCGTGGCAAGCGGCCCCCGCAGGCGACCGCCACACGGGCGGTGGCGAGCCGGACATCGCACAGCTCCTCGATGATGAAGGGGGGGTGGCGTGGAGGAGGCGCAGCTCGGAGGCGGCCCAGCCATCCAGGCCGGCTGCACCACGAGTGCTGCGGACGGCCTTGTCGAAGGCCTGGTAGGACGGGGCCCAGTCCAGCGGCTTCTCGGACTTGGGGAAAGGGGGCGCCCTGGGCCCGCTCCCGCCACTTCGCGACCTTGGGGCCCGAGTCATGCACGTCTGGGCTCCGGACCGCGGCCCGCTCTGCGCGCGTCCCAGCCGCATCGAACCCAGCGGCTGGCGGGGCCTGCTTGAAGCACGGAGTGGCCAAGTTCCAGATTTGAGATGACCACTTGGAGAAAGATGCTGCCCAATGAAAACGGCGTTCACGAGGAACTTTGAGGTGCTTGGCAAAGATGGCGCGGTTCGCGACTTCCAGGATCTGGCCGTAGCACGGGTGGCCGTCTATGGTGTCGCAGATGCCGTCTTTGCACATCTGAACGTAGCGATCGT